CGAAGTGATGTATTTAAAATAGAAGAATTAAGATCCAAACACTAAGCACTAGCTGGCTGATTTTCTGTGTGACCAGCTCCCTGTTGGAAGGGACCTTGTACCTGGAACTCCAATCTGCTGGAGACTCCCTGGCAAAGTTCAGCAAAAACACTCAAATAATTTTCTGTATGCACCTGGGGTACTTCAGTGGGTGAGCTATCTACCAGTCTTGGATAAAGTGGCAGCATTTTTTCCCCCCCCAAAAAAAATATCAGAACATACTGTGGGAAATTTCTTGTGCTATTATGCTGTGCCTTTAATAGATTATCTGCTTCTAGAGGTTATCGCAGTCACAAAAGACAAGTTCCTAGCAGTAGCCTAGGCTTTCTGGTAATCATCCCAAGCTGCATAGTACTTTCAGCTACTGCTTTTAAAAAAGCAAAGTTTGTGTTTATTTGACAGCAAGTTCAGTGTCCTTGTAAACGCAGCTCATTGTAATTCTTTGTTTTAGGGCAGAGAGCAGAAAAACACAACGCAGGAATAAAATAGAGCAGCTTTCCCTGAAGGTTCACTTGTTCGCAAAGGATAAATTTGCCAGATGAGACTTTGTGCTGCTGTCTCTGACCTCTATATCCCCCTTAAATAACAAATAAGGATTGTTTGGTCCTGAAATAAAATAGGCTTGCTTTGCCATAGTGTAGTGGAAACCACATATCCTAGTTTTAAAAAATAGCAAGTTTTAAACCCCCTGCCCCAAGATATGAAAAATAGCCTCCCCCACCAATTTCTAAATGTTTGGCTATTTCCATATGCTTTTTTAGATCAGTTGCTGAATAAAGTATTGAGGAGTGGGGTAAACTTGCTTTGGACTGAAATGCAAATTTTAGTTTCTAAATTCAAATGTTTGTTTCTTCTGTGGAATAGTTTGTGCTCCATGTATAAAGAATGACATTTTAGGCACTCAAAAATCTAGCTCTTTGTTATCTTGCTTTTCTGATCAGTTGGGAGGTGGTTAAGACTGCCAGATCTCCCTCCCCACACCCATTTCCAGGATGGTCCAGGGGTTTGGGTCATCACGTAGGACAGCAAGCCTCCAGTTTCAGTTTCCCTTTCTGCATGAGAGTATCCTCCAACCACAACTGAACCCTGAAACCCAGGAAAGTCAAAAGAAATTTTTCCACTTTACTCAGCCAGATGCTGACCAGTTCCAGCTGAGGTTAACAGCTCCTTTGCTTGACAGTGTATTTCCAGCATCAGAAGGAGCATGGGAATGGCTGAGCAATCCTGCCTGGTTTTGAAGGCATAGCACTGAGAGGCAGGAATTCAAATACTCCGATTGCATCATTCCTTTGAAGTCGCTCCTTCTTTGACTTCAGTTGTGGTAACGATTTATACCAGCTGATCTTCAGAGCCAAGAATAGAACTGTTTTGACGTGACCTTGGACATGCATATTGGACCACCTATCTGGGTTTCAGATGACCCACTTCATAAACAGTCGCATTATTTCCCTCAAGTTTTACGTTGTTACCTGCTTGATGGGCTGCTAAAAGCTGAAATTTTCAGGCAAGACCATAGGAAGTAGACGCTAATTTTTAATACTGGAATTAAATTTTGAGTTAGGCTTTCTCAGAAGATCTCACAGCGAGAACTTTGTAAGTTTTAGGTGTTATGCAAATGACAGCTATTACTGTTCTCTCTCAGCACATCAGATCCTGATTTGCTGTTTGGATTATCTAATCACTGTCAGCCCAAGTGTTTGGAGTGGAAGTAATTACAGCAGTACTTTGAACTAATTCCTATTCATGGAGTAGTAGTGAAAATGTTGATTTGAGGGATAAGTGAGCTAAGTATTCATGACAGAATAGGCACCTAAGAGCATTTGGGGCTGGTTCTTGTTGCTGCTGTCAAAACAGCTGTAACAACGTAAACAGTTCACGTGCCATCTTCAACTTCAAGAAATACTGACAAGTCTCAGACACGTACTAGATCATGATGGCATCAAAGACCTAATTACTTGCTCTGTATTGAAGCTCGTAACAGCGTCTATGATTAGCTCTCTGTCTTGGGCATCACATCATCGCTTCTGTGCATTGACTGTGTTGAAGGGCTTTCAGTGCTCCTAGGCAGATGCTGCCAGATTGGTTATTCATAGAATCATAGAATGGTTTGGGTTGGAAGGACCTTTAAAGGTCATCTAGTCCAACCCCCTTTTTTTATTGCCTTATTGCTAGAGGTTTAGGGTATCATGTTGTTTATGCTCAGTTAAGATGGTGCTAGATGTTCACCTGTGAGATATATGTGTCATGGGAGCATAGAAATGTGACTGTGATAATAGTACTCATTATTGATGGCTCCATTATCTCATTTTTGAAGGTACTAAGCAGCTTTCAAGTGAGAGGATATATCTTTTTTTTGACTTTGTTTATATAAGCTCAGCAGAGAGGAGTTAACCATCACATCACTAACATTAATGGGATTCTGAACTGTATAGTCAGGCAAAAAATTATTCATTGTCGTTAATCAAAACAAAATACTTTATTCTACTTTAAACTACTATTGCAGTAGCATCTCTCTGCCTAGAGACTCCCTGAGAGGAGAGAGCTGACTCGCTCATACAGAAGGAGGAAGAAGTTCAGGGGAGGGGCCTTCATAACTTGACTTTCCTCCACTTTGCTCAAGTTAGCATCACAAGTACCATTTGCTCTTTATGGGTGAGGTTACTTGGGTCATGATGATATTGTCCTGAGGCACTGGCATAATGTATTCCAACCCTGGGACTCTTTTGTTAGAGAACTGTTGTAATATGGGAGCGGAACCAAAACTCAAAGACCAGTGTTTATATTATAGGCTGATTTGGCTTTTGCATCCTTGGACGTACTTACGTGTAACAGGTTTCCCCCTGCCAGCTGTGCCCTGATTCTGATCTAAATCTAAGAATTAGTCTTGGATTAGTCATTGTTGAGCTGCAATAATAAATTCCAGTAGCACCAACTTATAGCCATCTACCATGCTTGACTGGAGTTCATTGCTAATAGTACTTCTGCTCCTAGTGGCATTTGGAAGGGTGATAACTGTCCTGGATCTGTGCCCAGCTGGATGCAGAGCAAAACTTTATTTGCTTATTTGTATTAGAATGTTACTCTCCTGTTCTGCCCCTGCTTCTGCATGCTGTTGAGCTCACTGTTGCAGCTACAGCTTTGAGATACTTGCTGACCCGGAGAGGTGCTTCTGAGTGCAAATGATCTGAGTAGGACATCATCATGTTGTAGTTGTCCTCATGTGTGTCGTATAATGGCAAATGCATTACTAAAGGATTCTGTTCTCTTCTATGGGCTTCTAATTGCTAAAGTTAAAACTATAGGTTTTTGAAAAACAAAAGGGCTGAATACTCAAACTTTTGACGATCTCTTTTGGATGGGGTTTTAGATTTTTTCTTGTCAAGTGTGATGGTTATCTGCGCCCAGCAAATCAGATTCTCAGAAGGCAAGTGTAGAAAGTCTCTTCCAGTAGAAGCGGGTGCATATCTGAATTGCTTTTTTGATGGTAAGCTCTCATTTTGGCTAGTGTCTAGTAATTCTTGAACAATTCAGTTCAAACCCTTGCATTAAACAGAACAGGTCGAGTGGCCAATAAGCTGAAAAATTGGAAGAAAATGTTGATAGGTTCAGCTGGTGCCTGGCATCAGAGCAGCCTGTCCATATGCTAAATGCTTCTGCAGCCAAGTGGGCCAGGAGTTTGAGTGCCCACATGTGAGGCAGAATAATAAAGCTGGGGGGAATAATAAGGTTCCCTGAACATCTTTATAAAAACAGCTAAAGGCCAGTGAAAGAAGCACAGCTAGTCAACTAACAATCATTTTTGGGCACAGAAATAGAGTTATAGATACCTTTCATGGGCATAATTGTTTTGTGCTGAATACATTGGTTAGAAACCCATCAAGGGTTCAAAGGATGGAGTTGCCTTGTCTGCTGGTTACCTGTTGGGTGCTGGCTTAGCTGGAGGCAGTGAAATGTTTTGATGGGTCTCATCACTGATCGCTCCAGTGAATTTGCGCTGCGTTGGAGGTCTGTCAGAGCTGTGAACTACTTGATAATGGCTGATCAGATTTTTTTCTCTGAAATCACACTAATTTTGGTGGCAGTTTTGTTTTATTTCTAACTTACCAGGTGTTACTTTGGAATTACTTATTAAATGTAGGCTGTGAACAGTTGGTAAGGCTTATAATTCTTTCCTTCTATACAGCCAGTATGTTATCTAAGCTGAGAGCTGTGGTTTTGAATGTAAGGGTACGGTAGAAAGTGCACCACAGTTAAAGAATAGGTGGGAAGATTGCAAGAAATGGTGGCAGAAGTTTGAGAAGTGAAGTGGCTTAATGCTATAGATGAAAATGTGTTTTTTCAACCACTCTGCACAGACAGAGTCTGCCCCAAGTGACTTGAATTTAAATTCAACTGGACCTTGAAAGCAAAACGCCAGTTGTCAGAATGGTCCTGGGTTCTGTAGTTAAATGATCTGTCTTTTTTGTTACCCAGTAATTCAGTCTCTTCTCCCTTAGGTATCCTCATTTACCCTTATACATAGAATATACGCTTACAGTTTTCTCTCTCATACTTGTGTGATGGAAGGTCCATTCCTACCTGTCTGCTCAAGCTTTCTTCATGTCTGTCTTAAGCATGCAAGACTGGAACCAGTAACAAATCCACATGGAAAAGTGTGTCACTTTATTTTTAAAAAGCCGTTTCCTAGAAAGCCCTGCATTTGCAAGCATAATTATAGCTTTTTCTTCCTAACACCTTTCATGCAAGCATGTACTGTCTTCATAAGAATTTCTGATTGTATCGTAATTCAAAAGAAATAGGATGTAACTATCCGTTAGCTTGATTTTATGTTTTGTCTGTGCTACTGAGAGTCATTAGTTGTAGCTCCAGAGCAACAGCTGATGTATGTGTTTAACTTCTATGCAAATATTAGTAATAGTCAAGTCATTGGAGATGCCAAATTTACTCTCTTGTGTTTCTAGATTTACCAGAGATGCTGGTTAGTATTCAAAAAAGCTTCAAGCAAAGGGCCAAAGAGGCTGGAGAAATTCTCAGATGAACGAGCTGCTTACTTTAGATGCTATCACAAGGTAAGACTTGATAATAAGGTTGTTTCTCAAACATTTTTTTAACGTACAATCAAGAATAAAACCTGAATTTGACATGTATTCATTCACCTGAAAATTAGAACTTTTTTATTATGAAGGTCCTAAACCCACTTGTATGTTCCTTCACTCAGTGAAGTAGAGGCAAAGTAAGTGTTCTGTTTTCTGCTTTGTTGCAAACATCTTGCTAAGCTAATGGAAAATGACTTTATTTTCAGAGAAGGCGTCCCTTCCTCTCCTCAGCCCTTTAAAATCAGATCTGAAATACTTTGCGGTGACTGCTATTCATAATTACGGTAACAACCATGCAAGGTAACGTGTGAATTCAAAAAGCTGGGTACTTAGAGGTTCCCATTTTACTAGGATTTTGCATCTGTGGGAAGACAGTAGACAGCTACAGAAATGAAGGGCAACATGCAAATTTTTCTTGCAATAATGATGTGAAAACCTTTGCTAAATTCACCGGTATTAAAAGAATGAAGTTTTTCCCTCTAATCACTTCTCTGGAGTTATGTGCACATTTCGTATTCATCTGAGGATTTACATGTGTAATTCTCCTGGGCTTGGAGATGAAAATAAGAAACTAATTTATAATCATTGTTGGCAAAAGCTTAATATATTAGAAGATTAGAAAGTATATGCATAAATTCCTAGGAGTTGGCGAGCACAGCTCAGCTTGAGGCTGATCTGCACTTACTCACTTTGACATACATTTAGGAAGAAATCTTGAGGGAATAATGAATCTGAATTCAGACTTGTCTGTCTACATGCCACGTAATTTGTAATTGATTGGTCATAAAAACCTGTGGCTATTTGTAGTAAGTCATGCCCAGAAATAGTTCATTCAAATTTATATTAAGCAACTTTCGAAAGTAATGAGAAGTTCATTTTTTTTTTATTTGATGTGTGTGAGGGTTGCACAGTATGTATAAGACAATTTCCAACTTTGTGTGAAATTTTATGTTTATATTAGTATGGCTCTGTCAATTATTGATGCAAATCTGTATTTCTTCTATTGTATTAATGCAATATATCAGCAGCACACGTTGACTTGAAGTTCAGATTAGGTAATGGATATGAAATCCATGAGGAATCTAAATGAGCTGGATTTTTTTCTCTTCTTTCAAGAAAATCTGTAGGTCAGCACTTACTTGTCGCCTATGAAACCTAACAGCAGTTTCCTACATCTGGATCTGCAAACTAAAGCACCATAGAAAGTCCCACTAGCTTTGAGGGATTTTCAGCTTTAAGTCAAGCTTAGTCTATAGTTAACAGTTATTTAATGTTAAACTATTGCTTCTTCTATAAATTTAGTATCTGGATTTCCCTGGTAGCTTATTTGACAGGAATAAACAATGGTCAAACTCCACAATCAGTCACTTTTGGAGGAGTAAAACAAACTTGAATGCAGGTCACTTGAATGTGGTGTGTGCTCCTGAAAGCACTGGTTCCCGCTGGAGTGAACTGATAGATTATATCCTAAGTCTCCTTCTCAGGAATTGGAGGGTGGTGTCTTGGGGTCTGGGTCTTACGCTGAGTATATCTGAGATGATCAGTCTGAGCTTCTATGTTTTTTTGGTGTCTTGGACCTGCTGAGCTAGACTGCCAGCTCCAGTGCTCTGAGCCCTTCCCCTAAACGTCTGTTTGCTTCAGGTCCCAGGTATGCAGACCCAAATTACAGGATGCATTGCTGAGGTTTCTGCCAGAAAGCCTGTAGTCCTTCTGTATAAAATGGAGAGATCTCTCCTCCCAGCACCATGACTGGGCAGCCATGTCGCTGCCATTTGTGAGAGCTACCCTGGGAACATTGCCATCAGCATTTGTTCTCCATGTTTATCACTCCTCTTTGCCACTCTGTAATGAAGCAGTGCTAACCAAGTAGAGCAGTTTAAATGTGATTGCCCAGGACAGTAGGTTGCCACTTACGCCGTGTTGCTGTTTGGCAGTGGGGCTCTGCAGCGTCCCCATTTTCTCACTGTGATGGTAAATGAGGCTGTCTTCTAGTTCTAGAGTCATCAGCTGTACAAGTTGACAGGTCCTGTTTATTTTTAATGAACCTTACTGAAAGGAAGCTAATGAATATTAAATAGCATTTTCTGGCGAAAATGTGTTAACTTACAAAGAGCACAGGTGGATAAAAATGAGTTTCTTTTTTAAATAAGCTTTGTAAATGTGTGAAATTCTAAGGTGGTGAATGATGCAGCTTCTAACTATTAAATAGGAAGTGTTGAAAAAGGAGAACATGTCACTGCTGCTCTATACTGCTCTGTAGTTGAACTGATTCTTACAAAAAGCATAGTTAATTATTAATAAAAAAAAACAAAAAAAACCTTATGTGGCAAAGTCTTCAACTAACACTATTTGTCACCTGTTTTTGATGTATACTATTAACGGGACTTTGGTACTCAAGCCATCACCCAGAAGTCTAGGATAGTCATGCTGTTGTCTTGATGTACATTTGGTCAGCAAGAGCAACTGTTGTAATAACAGCTTGATGGTGCGTAGATGGTTTTCTGTGACTATTCTAATTCTGTCATTCCTGGGCAGAAGGCTGCTTCTCGCTGTTGCTGACAATAAAGTTAGTCCTACAAATGGAAGCCCAGCTAGTCCTGTTAACATGTCAAGTGTCACTGTGTCATAAGCTTGTGCTAATGAATCTAAGGATGAATGCAGTTCAGTCTGATAGATGATATTGTAAGAGGAAAACCTCACTTACAGATTACAGTGTTTCAGAAATACGGTCATTAACTTCCTACCTGGGTTCTGAAGTGATTCTCCAATGCTGTTGAAAGCAGCATCAAATCTAGAAAACTGAGGAGCCCCTGCTCACCCCATCAATCTCAGGAAAGGTTTAATCCATCATAAAACTGTAAAGGGTAGAAAAAGAAAAGTGATGAATGGAGCTAATTTTTCAATAGCACCTGCCTCCTTCATTGAAGTGTTAAATTGTTTCATTTTGTTGCTTTTTTTTTCCTGTCATGAATTAAAGTGCAAATATTACTTCGATTTATTAGTGGAAAGAGTCTTTCCAGAGCGTTTGCTCTGTTGGCACTGTGGTGGTACCAGTCACTGAAGCTGCGCTGCTGCGGACTGAGACTGTACAACATCTCCTTGGCACCTTTATCCAGTGAAAGTCTCTCCTTCATCCATTTGAAGTCTGGGTCACAAGCAATGTTTCTGAGGTGTCTCAGTGGTGTTGCTGTCATATGGGGGGGGTCCAATTTGTTTGCATTTGAATGCGTGATGTATGTGTCCTCTGCTGCAGCCCTGCACCAGAGGCTGAATTTTGACCTCCTTGCCACTCAAAGTTTAAAACAACAAAAGAAATAAGTACTTTTTTTTTTTTTTTTTTTATAATACTGACCTTTAAATACTTTCTAATCTTGTTCTATTTTTTTAAACATGGAAAGGTTAAAGTGTCCTAAAATACAGGTCGTCCAAGAACAGTCATCTGTAGCTTATGAAGTGAACTGGAAATTTGCATACACAAAGCAAATTGCCCACTTAATTCATTTGGTTCCACAAGGGAGAGAAAATAATTAGGATGCAGGCTACAAAATCTACACAGAGAGTTGCTTTTCAGGTAGCTGGTTAGTTTTCACTTGGTAAATAAGTAATTGACCACAAATTACCATATACTTTAACAAAGTACTATTGGAGGAAGGTAGAAATTATTATTTCTCCAAGTGACTTTTGACTTTGCAATGTGCCAGAAGAATCCTTAATATTCCAATACAAAACCAACTAATTGCATACTGCTGACAGGAATGTACTGATTCCTCGAGGGGATCTGAGTTTTAATCCGATTGTATTAATCTTGCCTTGAAACAGCAGAAGTAATTTAAACAGTCTTTCTGTCTAGTTATGGAATAATCCATTTGGAAAATTGAATTGTGTAATTTGTAATTGTTTTCCAGGCTTGCTAATGCAAAACTGTATCGGTAGCAAATTAAATGTTTAAAGTATGACCACTCTGCTAATAACTGGCTGTTAAACATTTATTTTAGTGAATACTATCACTTACTATGAATGAAATGTCTAGTTTGAGGCTTTAAAAGAATTAAAGTAACTTGTCAGGATATTTTGGTATCTTTTCTATAATGCCATACAGTGAGGCTCACTGCAAGTCTGTGGGGTAGGTATGTGTACTTCCATATGGAAGGCCTTGTTGAACCTCATACAATTGGCCTTGGCCCATGGATCCAGCCTGTCCAGATCCCTCTGTAGGGCCTTCCTACCCTCCAGCAGACCAACACTCCCACCCAACTTGGTGTCGTCTGCAAACTTACTGAGGGTGCACTCGATCCGCTTGTCCAGATCATTGATGAAGACATTAAACAGAACTGGCCCCAGTACTGAGCCCTGGGAAATGCCATCTGTGACTGGCCGCCAACTGGATTTAACTCCATTCACCACAACTCTTTGGGCCTGGCCATCCAGCAATTTTTTTACCCAGCAGAGTATACTCATCCAAGCCACGAGGAGCCAGTTTCTCCAGGAGAATACTGTGGGAGACAGTGTCAAAGGCTTTACTAAAGTCCAGGTAGACAACATCCACAGCCTTTCCCTCATCCACTAAGCGGGTCACCTTGTCACAGAAGGAGATCAGGTTAGTGAAGGTTACCTGCCTTTCGTAAACCCATGCTAGCGGGGTCTGATCCCCTGGTTGTCCTGTACGTGCCATATGATGGCACTCAGGATGATCTGCTCCATAACCTTCCCTGGCACCGAGGTCAGACTGACAGGCCTGTAGTTCCCCGGATCCTCCTTCTGGCCCTTCTTGTAGATGGGCATCACATTTGCTAACTTCCAGTCAACTGGGACCTTCCCGGTTAGCCAGAACTGCTGATAGATGATGGGAAGTGGCTTGGTGAGCACCTCTGCCAGCTCCCTCAGTACTCTTGGGTGGATCCCATCGCTCAGGGGGGGGGGTACTGTGAGCGAAACTGGTCTGACTGTTAAAGGCTGAGGCAAAGAAGGCATTA